CCCACCCACCCCCTTCCCTGCCTGTGTTGTCTTTTGGGAAGGAAATGTGAGGGTAGCTGAAGCTGATGTAAGACTTACTGTTTTGAAAGATGGGAGCTTTGATTACTTTTCACAACTTAGTATTTCACTACTTATGTTTTCCTAATTTTTTCCAACTTTGGAAGCACGGCAGTACAGCAGATCATCAATTCCGATACTTGTCAGAGACGTATTAACTTAAACACGTGTTTATTATTTTGGCTGGAGTTTGCAGGGGTGTAGCACCATACTGAGATCGGTTTCTATTTTTATATGTGTATTAATAGGGACCATGCATCAAGCTTCATGAAAGTTGCAGCTAATTGTTTCGCTTCTCACTTCCTTACTTTCATTTGAGATTCCAGTTAATCATTCACGTTGATAAAGATGCTTCCTTTAAACTGCAGATTGTGCAGCAATGTGTCTTTTAACTTGAGCCCGTAACAAAAATCTGGTGGAAATAAATCTCAAGTTCATTAAAAAAAATGTATTTCTTTACTTTCAGGCTAACTGGTACTAGCCTGCCTTCACCAGTTATATCAAGCAAGAACTGGCTGCGGATACACTTCACCTCAGACAGCAACCACCGAAGGAAAGGATTTAGTGCTCAGTACCAAGGTATGTTCAACACTGACACTTCCACTCCATATGTCGCTGCGCTGCCCCCCCCCCCCTTATGTATGGAGTATGCACAATGAGGCAAGAGGGCATATAAAACATCTGTGTGTTTTATCGTCATTTAAGGTATTATTGTGCACCATAATTATTTATTGTTTCACACAAAAAAACCTTCAGGTGATCCATATGATGTTATGATATGGTAGACACATACAGTATGGTCATTCCAAGCATGAATAGACACAGGGCAATCAACAACATTTTACTGACGGAGACCAATCTTGCCTCTCATGTTTTGAATCATTTTTATTTGTTCCCTTTTAGTCGCACAAGACAGTCACCGCTTTACAATGCAGTCTGCATTCCCTGCACAGAGCGCGTTCACAATGTATGGGCAGTGGATAGGGATGTGCTTTGCATGTTTACCATGCACAATAAAACAGGCAATATATTGAGTGATCTCGTGGTGAGGTGAAATGTAAATGAGGGCTTCCCCTGTTAGTCACACATGAAAACATGAAATGCATGTCAGCATAGGCTTGAGTTGCCGTGCTTGCATTTAGTTCAGATTATTGGAGTTTTCACACCGACAGGAGCCTTAACGCGTTTTCGACAAAGTTTATCAGCCAAAAAAAAAAGTTTGAACAGTTTTTTTTTTTTTTTTTTTTTTTTTTAAATAATGCGTTTCCTCTAATAAAATGAGCTCCATCTCCTCTCATTCCTCCAGTGAAGAAAGCTATAGAGTTGAAGTCCAGAGGAGTGAAGATGATGCCCAATAAAGACTCCAGTCACAAAAATGCAGTCTGTAAGTAACCACACACACAATCATGTGGCACACCAATCCGGTATTTCATAAGAAAAATAAAAACATATAGCTTCGAAGAGAATACTGTTGTACGAACAGCGTCGATTATCGCATGTGAGCTTGTGTTATACTCTGATAAGGTGCATTTTCAACTGTTTGAAATGCATATATTCCACCGGGCAAGAAAACAGCTACTGTAGATTGATTACAGTGTCTACCGGTTGGAAACGTGTCCCCTGCCTCATTCGCACAACAAGTATGGAATCTATTAATACTGTTGTTTTGACACACCATTTGATACCGAATAGTGGCTTATTTACGCACCCAGCAGTTGCAACATAATGGAGCTGTTTCCCTTTAAGCCAGTGAAAGGAAGTCCAATACCGCCTTTCCCTAAGTTGCATTTATGGTCTCTATTACCTCCTCGGGGAAATATCAGACCTCGGCCTGCTCCACAATGTTCACCAGCTTGTCCATAAATAAGTCTCTTTTGCCATTTTGTGCTTTGCAGGTGGTGCAAAGTGGGGGGTTTTAAGGCCTTTTTTTTCTGTGGAAACGACCTGGATGCTGTTTGTGATAATGACCCAATGGGAGCAGTGACGGACTAGCAAAGCAGCTAAGTCAGAGGAAAAGAATCTAGATAAGCGAAATAAGAGTTCTACATTCTTTCAGCAAACTTTCAAACCGCTGGTATTGTAGTACTCTGGATGTAAATGCAGGACACATTAGGTCAGCTCTAGATGCAAAATCTGTATCAAATCATCTGTTTTTACAAATATATGTTTAATAATGTTGAAAGTACTGTTGATGTGTAGTCATGTTTCATCAAAAGCGGTGATGCTTATTTAGCAATGTTAATTACTGTGCTTGTAGTTTACATTACAATTACGATTGCTCCATTCCCGCCTCCCAAAGAAAGACAAAATAAAAATTGTAATGTGTATTTTATGAAGAAAAATAGCACTACATACAGTAATTACGTCATCAAATAGAATGTAAATAATGACTTTTTGACACTTTTTTGTTTTCAATTCAACAGACATTGTACTGCTCTTTCTGGTGTGCATGGCTTTGCCACCTGTGAGCAGCATAATACAGACATTGAAACAACAAAGTGTTTCACAGCTGCCTCGGCAAACTGCAATAATGGCCATTTTTGCACATCATAAAATAAAGTTTTGTAATGTTGTCTGTCTACATATGTTGCCCCACCCTTTGTTTCTTGAAGTGTTCCAATACTACATGACATTCATTTGCCTGTCTATGGCATTTTGCATTGTTTCTTAGCAATAGGCTAAACGGACCGCCGTGGGGCAAAGCTTTGTGGTTGTTTTAAATCAACAATGTGCAGTTCCCCATTTTGTGTTTAGTTCAACAGCAAAGTTCAATGAACGGGGCAATAAACACAATGAAGCCTGTCCTCTAGCTAACAAACTGTTGCTTGTTGTGTCACCCGACAGCGCTGGTATCACATTTTAGTTTTTTGTAAGACAAATCAAACATATCCACTGAGCGATTTTCTCAAAAAATTAATACCTAACTTAGGGAGGGCACCACAAGTGTACGTGAAAAGATGACAAATGTAAACATTCTCATGATTGCAAGGCAGTAATTTAGACTTATTTTGGTTATTTTAATTCTAAATCACCATCCTATGGAATTGGCTTGCTGCTAAGGGACACGTTGAAACAGGATTCAGGTCATGTGATGTACTGTATCCTTTTTTTTTCTTTTCCAAGGAAGGCCGAGCGCCTACCACAAGTGATCCTTAGCTTTCGCCCTCATCATAAAACTCTCGTCAATAAATCGGCCTATTTACATGCTCAGTCAAGCATGTGCTGCTGCAATTATCATTTGCGTGTGTGCTTACGAGTGGATGTGCGTGTGTGCTTTTTTTTTTTTTTTTTTTTTTTATCAGTCTTTTGATGCCTGGTGAAGAGTTCAGATTACACACACGCACTCTTGTGTCATGACTCTCTTTACATGTTTCCCCTTCGGCTATCGACTACATTTATCATGGTGCGATGTATAAGAGACTTGGAGTAAAGTGGCTGCGGATGTCTCTTAAATATACATGATACTAATGTTTAAAACCAGCCGAGCTCAGCACAGCTGCGAAAAGTCAGTTAACCTTCTGACTTGAGAAACGCATTGCTCCATAGCTCACGGAACATTGCTCTGTGAGGATTTCTGCGTGATATTTAAGTAAAACTACAGCCATCTCCACTGTGTCCTGCATGTGTTTTAAAACACCCCCCAAAGTAACCATTGGACTAAATTACAAATGCACAGCAGAAAACATGCTTGCTATCTGTAATAATGTGGCGCCACAGAATGAGCGCGCTAATGATTCAACGTGTTGTCCAGGGATGCTTTAAGCTTTGAGAAATTACATTGCTCACTGCGGCACCACTGCTCATTAAAATAAATAGCAGCACTGTTGTAATGGAGACTAAAGCTGGATAAATAATGCCTCACACACTGGGTCAAGGGGTCTTAGATGTGACTCAAACATAGTGCACGGAGGTCAACGGGAAAACGATCACCATAAAAGCGTTACAAAACAGAGGCCAAATATTTTTGGGGAACAATGCATGACTCCTGTGCGGTGACATTTTAGCAGTATAGCAAAGTTTGCAGCAATTTATAATTACTATATCGATGCATAGAATGATGTTGGTGAATTTTAGCCATCAGTAGAATGGAGTGCATATGACTCATCACCCGACAAACTGACCCGAACAGCCTTTCGCCCACAATAGAGGATGGTCGGATATGAGCATGAGAGTAAGTTGAAAACATTTTGGGAAAAATGTTGCGTTAATACATGACTCCAGGGCTCATTATTGATGACATTACCTATGAGAGTGACTACAGCGATTTAAGGAGATGATGCGCTTTCAAGCCAAATTTATGAGTCACCAGTCTAGATAGAAACTAAACACCTCTCTACTGCAGAGAGTGTGCGATAAATATGGCCAATTATCCATCGCTTTTCCAAGATGTTTTGTACCATTTTGTGCTTATAATTTTGCAGGGGCAGTTTGGATAAAGAGCCTCTTCCGTTCCATAAAGAGTCCATCAAGGCATGCTTTTTAATGGCTTTATTGTTGCAGACCTTGAGATCCCTAATCTCAACCCCACCGAACAATGTAGGGAATCTGTGACCTCTCACCTCACAGATGGACTTTTGGAAGAAGGGAATTAAATACAATTAATAAAACAATCAGACAGACATATTCCAAACTTGTGTAAAAAGTCTTCCAAGAAGAGTGGAAGCTGTTACGACAGTAAATGAGAGCCCACCATGGCCATATTTTTCTTGAGTTTTCATTTCCTGTAGGGGTAATAACCAGGTATTTTCTTCCATCTAGTTTACTTTATTGCATATTGCTTTCAGTGTGAATCTGTTTTTTTATGTGGTGACTAAGTGGCTTGTGTGTTCCATGAACATATGTCAGACAACTGACATTAGTCTGAAGCTTGACTGATCCGTGCGCATGATACAATCAAAAAGAGACAAGAGGTGGAAAACGGGATGAAAAGCACCCAGAGAATCTACAATGTGCACATAAGATCTGACTCTTCTCATCTGGTCGCAACCTGAAGTGCAGCTCAAGAGCTCTTAACGGCAACAATTTCAGACCATTTCACACACGCGCCTCACTCTCTCCTTTGCTCGTCTATTGCGATCATTGTTACCTCCTATAAGGAGGTAACACATATCTCATTGTCATTGAACGTTTGTCAGGATTGTGCCAAAACTACTCTGCTGATACAGATGAAATGTTGTGAAGAGGTCAGGGCGCGACGATGAAGATTTTTGACAAAAGTGCTAATCCAGGATCAGTGTTAACATTGCGACGTTTTCTTTCATCCATCTTTCGAGGTAAATCGGAGAGTTTGTCTTGGCGGAGGTTAACAGTGCCATACAGGTTTATAGCTTTTTTTTTCCCCCCAAGCTACTGGGGCCTGAAGATATACAATTTTCCGCCATTGCAGTGCACACAATGAATGAACAAGAGGTACAGTAATAGAGGAAAGGCATAACCAACCGTGATGCACAACTGACTTGAACAGTGCACAGTTTAGTCAGACAATCGCTAAATGAGAATTTGTACTGATCTCAAGACATAAGACAACAAATGATACGATTCAAAGGATGAGCCTCAGCATCAATCATTGTGGTTTGAAAATAGCCCGAGCCCCGTTGGGCTGACTTAATGTTCTAAGAAAGATCCCAGAATACAATGAAGAAGCTACAAGTGTCATAAATATACATTACTACGGTTACTAACACTCAGCAGACTAATTATTCTGCGCTGACAATAAATACTCAATGGCATCCCACAAAACCTCTGGCCCACCACATCTGTTGCGTCCGCAGAGCACCCGTCCGTGTCAGTGTTCCAACGCTCTTCCTGATTGATCGTCACGAGCCATCTCTGGAGTGCCATCCCACATTAGATGAGCAGGGTAGCCAGGTTAAATCACTACATGTTATTTCTAGGACTTTTCATCAGACCTAATCAGACGACAATGAAAGAGGCTCCTGTGACTTGGCAGCCTTTTGCAACAGTTCCACTAATTTTCTCCCTAATTTGTTCTTTATCACTTTTATTTTTGGGGAGGGTTATTGTTTCATGTTCCTTGTGCATCATATTAACCCGCTTTGGAGTGTTTACAGTCTTAATAAAAAAAAAAAAATAATAATAATAATGCTTCTGATTTATGTAGGACCTTTCTGGAGAGTGAAAGACGATTCAAAATGGATATATTGTTCAAGCGCTCACACAATCAGCTCAAGTGGCGGTAAACCACAGCTGCCCTGGGGCTGGCTGACGGAGTAACAATAGCTCCATTACTTTCTTATTTTATAATTTATTTTACATCCATCCATCCATTTTCCGATCCACTTTATCTTCACAATTGTCACGGGGGGTGGTGGAGCCTATCCCAGCTGTCTTCGGGCAGTAGGCGGGGGACACCCTGAACCGGTTGCCAGCCAGTCGCAGGGCACACAGAGTCGAACGACCATCCGTGCTCACACTCACACCTAGGGACAATTTGGAGTGTTCAATCAGCCTGCCATGCTTGTTTTTGGAATGTGGGAGGAAACCGGAATACCCGGAGAAAACCCACGCAGGCACGGGGAGAACATGCAAACTCCACACAGGAAGGCCGGCGCCGGGTCTTGGACTGTGAGGAGTCCAACGTGAAGCCAGCCGACACCCATTCAGCAACGAATGCATCCCAGAGGAGATCTGGAAAGGGAAGAGAACTGCCGCTTAAAATGAAGTAAAGTGAAGTGAGAGAGACAGAGCAAAATTGGACAAGAGAATTGAATCGATCATTCTGTTTGTGTGTTACTTGGCAACAGATGAACTATCGGCTGTTAAGACAACTGTAGTTGTTTGTTTGCACCAAAAGTCAACTTTTAGCAGACGTGAGAATGACAGTGACATCATGCACACCGTGATCGCAAGATGTCAACCTCGCTCTTGACATGTATCATCCCTCATACTGGGTTTTGGGGACTTCAATCTTCGTCCTTTCTCTCACCTACTAACAGCATCAACACAACATGAATGCTAAATCACAATGTAAAAAGACCTCTTGTATATCTTGGATAGCAACAATATTTTGTTTTGTCCTTATTTGATTGTTGGATTTTTTTTTTTTTAATGTTTTCTTTATGACACTTTGTTAGAGCTGTGGTCGGTGTTAAAGTGTTCTCGAGATAATGCTGAGTTGAACTTTCATGTCATTTCCATTACCCAAGCTTCCCAAAATATGTGGCGTGTAATACACTGTAAAATTATGTGCATTCATGTTTAGAGTTTTGTGTAACACCTCATTGGAATGCTCTTTATTGGTCAGACACACTTGTTTCAGTGCGACAGTGAACGACTACTTCTATGATGTCATCGTCTTAAACTACCAGATGGCCGAAATGAATATTAGACAACTAGTATTGGTGTCCTTTATATTAGCGATTCCATTTCCAAAGACTTGATTTTGGTCCTTGAGTTAGCTACCAGAGAGTCATAGGGTGCTAACAAAAATTCAGTAAGTTAGACTAGTTGCTGCAAAGGTTACTTGGTACCCTCAGCATACCCTTGAGCCCGGTGGCCTCAAGCCCTTAAAACTGCTCAGGGGCTTACCACCCAGTGATAATTTTACAGTTTGAGCCTTGCGAGTCCCATGGACTTGCTGATCAGAAAAGTATGAGTCCCATTATGCATTTGGAGAGTCCCAAATTTCGAATTCTGAAATTCGAAATTTGAGTGGGGATGAGTCCAGGTCTTCAGGACCATTAGTGCATGTTAATAGAATCATGTTGTGTGTGCGTGGGATTAAGTCAGACCTATGAGAGCATTGCCTCTTAGTAAAACAATGATGTCTCTCTCTTTCTGATTCTTCTGATCAATGTTTCCCAATATTCATTGAGTCACTGCACCCACTTCCTCATGCTCACTAAACAGTTAGTCGGAATCCGAGGTAAATTAGTCCAAAGTTAAATGGAAGGGTGAGCGCAATTTGTTGATTTAAACATTCTGGTGTGAGGTTGCTGCCCACATAAAAGAACACCAAAGAGAAAATTAATCACTTTCTATTATTTCCTGAAGAGTTGAGTTGTCAAGATGAAAGGTCTGGTGAAGACACTTTGAAGATATGGAAACGCCATTTCTCATCATAATCTTGCATTTCGATGGCAAATGGTCTTTTAAGTGCAAATGCGGGATTAAGTCCATTCGAGAATTTTTGACACCGGCCCAGCTTTTTCTCTATTACAATCTCATGTTGTTTGAATGAGCCATATTTGGCAAATGAGCCTTTGTAAAAGATGCCAATGAATGTCATTTGAACATGAGTGAGGATGAAAGGGATGAGAGGAACGCGGCTGAGTGTGTGTGTTTTCGGCATGCGTGTGTTTGCTTGTGTGATGTGTGTTTTTGGAAAGAACATCAAAACCGCGGTGGGAGCTGCAAGACAGCTTGTTCTGTTTGCATCATATCCCACACAAACATGCATACAAATTGTCGATTCACTCACAACCCACAGCGCGCAAATCCAGAAAATCATCCATTCATCTTTGACGCCTGAAACTTCTGTATCCCTGTTTACATTTCAGCTAAAGTTGGAGCGAGGAAAGGCAGTTTAAGAAGAAAACGGAAAGACAAAACATCCCCTCCATTCCATCATTACCTTTGTCGTTGCTATTATTACCGCTGCCGTGTTATTATAGCCGTTCTTGTTCTTCCATTGACGTCATGGTCATTTTTGGACCACTTGCAAATTGCATGAAGCAAATCATGCTGCCTTGCCAAGTCACTTAAAGGTGGTGTTTAGGTGGAGCTCCTTTTGAGAGTGTGCCCGTGAAGTCACGAGAATGACTGACACCTCGTCATTCACACTTTGTGCCTCTGATTGGTTGTTTTTCCACGGGCACCGTGGTTTATTACAAATCACAATAGAGATACAAAGTGGGACCAGCGAAGGCACGCACACACACACACACACACACACACACACACACACACACACACACACACACACACACACACACACACACACACACACACACACACACACACACACACAAATAAATAAATAATTGGTAAGTCATTTTCTCCATGTGGGCTATGAGTGTCAGGTCATACTCAAAATTTTCAACTCCTTCTTTAAGAAGACTGTCAAAACATCATTTATGTTGGTTATCGCATCCACAACATTTGCTCATTCATCATTGCCCAGAAAAAACTATGTGTCCAGTAATTCTCCACCAACTCATCACATATTGAATGATTTAAACAAAACATAATTAATTATTTGATGATCAGTAATTTATTTTTCACTTGGTTTCGTAGTCATGTTATCAAATATACACTAAAGTAAAACACGTCACTCAGATCTTCACCTCCTCGGAGTAGCTCGTTTGTCAATCTTGGAACAGGAGGAAGGCTGGATTCATTTTAAGGGTATTGGTATTGTGCCTGCAGACTCACCGTCGCATGAATATTTGGGGCCGTTACGGATGTGTTCGAAATAGCTGTGGTTTTCCTTCAAAGATTTGTCAAATGTCTCTTAAAAAAAAGAAAGAAAAGAAAAAACATTTGTTCATGCTGTCACATTCAATAACGGTTACTTTAGCTTCTGCTTTTATCCGGGGACCTAAACTCTTCTCCTCCTTTTGTGGTCGACAAGATGGGGTTTATTTTGAATTTCAAATACGCGTGAATGTACTAAGATACTTTCCAACACAGCATGTTCACCGTGACTTCTGGCAGATGAAGACATGCCTTTTGACTGCTAAGTCATGTTGGCTTTTTTTCTCAATGTTTCATAGCTTTCCATGTTGATTTGTTCATTTCTAGGCAGCACAGTGAAGTGGGAGCTACCGCACGTGCATCACAATCGAGAGGTCCTTGCGATCATTTATTATTACAATTTGGACAGAGACAATTATACAACATAAAAAAAGTTTTTTAGGGTGGAGTACCATGATTTACACAGTTGGAAAATATTAGTTGGGATTATTTGTCACCATTTTTAATGATTACAGACAGTTAACTGCCATTAGTTCGAGAATAATATTCCAAAAACGTTTTCATTTCACACAAACATGTTTACATTCCATTCTTGTTAATAGTAATGAATACAATGCATCGAAACAACTGAAATTAAAAAGGTGTCTAACATAGGAGTCTTCCTATTTTTGTTTCTCAGTGAGTCAAAGTGGCCTGGCTGGAGATGTGTGTCCAGATCCTGGAGTCCCAGAGAATGGCAAGAGGATGGGATCCGCCTTCCAGTGAGTCCACGTTTCATTTTATTCCAATCATCCTCAGGGAGCATTTTCTGTTCAAAATACATAATGCGATAAATGATCCTCGAAGGTGTGTTACAGGAAGTTATTTTGTATGCCAAGCCAACATAACCAGAGATACTGTATGATTATAAATAGCAGTGATCACCAACCTTTTTGAAACTGAGAGCTATTTGTCCTTCACACAAGGGGATGCCACTTCTGAAAGAACAAATTTGCTACAATTACCTTTATTAATGTTTATTTTAAGGATCGATCGATTAATCTGCAGATATTAGCGCTTTTAACTTCATTTGCCGATTTTTCCTTTTTTTTTTTTTTTTACACAAATTAATACATACATGACATTAATATAAGACAAAGATAACATTCAAACACAAAACAAAAAATGACAAAAAAGGCAGATTTTTGCTGATTTTTTTTCTTTGCTTTGAGAATGTGTGACCTCAGGTTTCGAAGTACGGTGAGAATTTCAAAGTATGGTTTTTGTTTTGAACTAAGGTTTCAGAATAGGGCTAGGATTCACAAAACAGGGTATGATTTCAAATTAGGACTTCAAAGTAGACCTTCAATGTAGGATTCGAGTTTCAAAGTAGGGTATTGCTTTCAAATTAGTGTTCCAAAGTAGGGATAGGGCTTCGAAGTAGGGTTAGATTTTCAAAGTAAAGTCGTTCCAAGTAGAATTTCCAAGTAGTTATAAATGATAACAAACTATGCCACTGTGATGAAAATAACCCGATAGATTTAGTCTTTTTTTTTAGGGTATAAGACAGCCAAGGTGGCTGATGTGCATCACGTACATGCTGCCATTACCTCGCTGCCTTCCGCCTCCCTTCCTATTTTTTTTTTTTTGTCTCAAGAGGGAATAATGTGTCAGAACAAGGTGATTGGAGCAACATGAAAGGCTAAAAAAAAACAAAGTCATTTGATGACTCACTCTCTCGATGGTGTGTCAGCTAACAGCAAAGGAGACAATTCATGATCTTCTTGTATGATGCAATTATCCTCCGAGCATGGCATCTGGAGCTAATAGTCTTGTCTTGTAATTACAAGACACTCAAGGAAGGATTTTTTTTTTTTTTTGGCCTGAAAAACATTTAAATGATGATCATCCTTTATTCTCCCGCGCCTGCTGTTCTTCATTGCCATTAGTTACTATAGCCCCGTTCACACGGCAACGTTTGGTCCGACGCAGCTCCGAAACAAATCCAGTCGAGCATTCACACGTGCACATTTGCTATGGCTGAACAAATGTATTAAGACTATTATTGGAATCTCTGCGCTTGTGAACGGTCATTACCAGCGTGTGTGCATGTAGTTTAAGTTTGCATTCACGTCAGGGCTGCGCGGACATATTGCTTTGCCGTGCTTTTGTCCTTCTCTCCCCTTGTTAAGCACCGAGGAGCTGAAACTGAGAGAATATAGCGCAGGAGAAAAACATTTTTTGTGTGGTTGCGTAGGGGGCGGGGGCAAGGCAAAGGAAAAAAAAATCTGTTTGGTAACTGAAAATACACAGCTTAGTTCATACAGTTGTTGGACCACGTTATGATTTGTGTGTTCATAAGAGTAGCTACTTAAGAGCTCAAAAATTGCACCAGCATCAAAAACAATTGGAGGATTACCTGAGAGTCGGGAAGACATTTTGAAAAAAAAAAAACACTGTAATCAGTTTTCATTCACCGACAATGCATTTACTACAGCTTTGTCTTTTGTTGCAGCAAATTTCACAGCCGGTACTTGTATGTAATTTGTATACTCTGCATGCTCACAGAGAGATGTGTACACAACAAGCGTGTGTAACAACAGGGTGGAGCCCCTGAACAACCAGGAGCTAGTGTAGAAGCTCGGCCAGGAGGTTAAACGCTCGCCTTTCAGCGGGGAAGAGACATTGAGCTTTACAGGCAAGACGTCATGTGGACTCGAGCTGACATGGCTGAACGTCCCGCTCACATGTTAGACAGCAGGATGTCGAAAACATTAGTGAGTTGAGAAAATGACAAGAGACAAGAGGTAAAAGTATCAGGCTCTTAAAATAAGAACCGAGAAGACAAGAGACAGCAAAAGGAAAGCAGGCAAGAGCACACCAGTTTAGAATTAAAACAACAAATGAATATATACTCCCAAAAAATGATTGATTTATTTATTATAAAAAGAATAATTGGAACTAACAGAAAAATCACCAAACGCACAGCACATACATCACGTCACCGCTTGCAAGTACAACAAGATAGCATGACAGTGTTTGACACTGCTTCTGTTTTGTCTCCCAAAATAGAGTCGGCTCCAGCGTCCAGTTCAGTTGCGACGACAGCTACGTTCTTCAAGGATCCAAAAGTATCACTTGTCAGAGAGTGACGGACACACTGGCTGCTTGGAGTGACCATCGGCCCATCTGCAGAAGTAAGATTTCGCAACTGTCACCTCCATAACACCTTCATTGACGTCATCATTTACTGTACTGGATGTGTGTGTCGTCACAGTCACACGATTGAATATGTTTTCCACAGCCAGTTTGGATGATACAAATCAGGACATTTATTTTCCCCAAGATGAATCAATTTATTGATGGTCTCCATGGGGAAATTTGTTCGAAAAGCAAACTGACTGAAAGAATGAAATAAGATCTAGGAAGTGAGTAATAAAACCAAATAAATGGAATATCGGCTGTCCATTTGTCTTGGCAACTACAAATATTACGAAGAATGACTCTTGTAGAGTGTAAGTGCACTTATCAGACAGCTTCAGTTCATTTTTGGTTTTCACAGAATGATAACCAGGCTGTTTACGACTGTGGCTGCAATCTGCAGTGTCTTTTATAACTTCATCCCACCGAGTGGTGTCCAATATTTAGAAATACTCACCCGATGAGGGCGGTTCACTACTCCAACCTACAACCACAAAAAAACCAGGACCCTTTTTTTTTTTTTTTTTTTACCTGTGGCAGCATAACTAAAAGCAGATCATTTCTTTCTACCATATGTATATAATTACATTTTTGATAGAGCTTTTCTGATAAAATTAATTACAATGTGCAGATGTACGAAATCAAACAGTGAGTGTATATCACGTTTTAGCTAGTGTACATTTTATTGTTTTATTAAAACCTCTTTCCTTACGAAAAGTCATCGTAGGTGTTAACACAAGGAGTGGATTTGGAAGAAACACATGATTTTATTTTTTTATTTTTTGAGACTGACATTGCCGTATTATTCTCTGCCAGTGTCATAGAGACATGATGTCATTTACATTTGGTGTTGTGTTGATGATTGCACCACTGGTTGCTGTGTGAGTGCCAAAGCAATGATGCAGGGGCTCTCACTGCCCATGCACTGACTGACAATACCCTGTTGCCTTTATTGCTCCACATTGGAAAGGCAGACAGCTGGCATACACAAACCAAATTACACGCACACACACACACACACACAAACACAAAGATACACACGCCTACATTGACAGCATGTGTCCAAAGGATGGTGTCACACACCTCTGCAGCAGTCTTTGCCTCAAGGTGTGTGTGTGTGTGTGTGTGTGTGTGTGTGTGTGTTGTGTGTGTGTGTGTGTGTGTGTGTGTGTGTGTGTGTGTGTGTGTGTGTGTGTGTGTGTGTGTGTGTGTGTGTGCATGTGTGTGTGTGCATGTGTGTGTGTGTGTGTGTGTGTGTGTGTGCGGGTACATTTGACGGACAGGCCGTCCCTGAGCTCAGACACATACTGTAAGATTCCTGTCACATTGTATTACACTGTCTGTGTTTGTGGGTCTGGTTTGTGTCTAGAAGTCAGTATGTGGCTGCAGAGACTCGCCCATCCTCATGATACCGGCCACTCTTGTCAAGGAGGAGACAAAGAGCTGGAAGGCGAATGAGTTGTGGGCAGATAGATGGATACAGAATGTTTTTTTTTTTTTCTCGCTTCAAAAGCACCATTCTAAACTTTTAATTTATGTTACACCAGCTGTCTTGGCCAAATTCCCACCAACATTGTTATATTGTTTTTTTTATTGGGCCACATTTGTAATCCAGGTCTAGTTTTGTATCTCATTCGATGGTACACTGCATGTGCTCATCGCAGTGTTCATTTTCCTGACACCGGCATGAATGACATAAGTTGCAAATGGGAATTGGACTGCGGCCTCCCTCCGCAAAGTTTGTATTGACACTGAGACCCACCCTATCCGCTCTTCTTGAACCAATCAGCGCATGAACACATTCTGTGATTAATTGGCTTGTTTTGTCAACTGGGATGGATTGTCTCTCGAACTTTCAAGTCAGGATGTTTTGTGTGCGCTGATGAGCAGACACAAGCACAAAAAAAAAAAAAAATAATAAGTACTGTAACTGCTCCACTGAGTGTGTCTGGTCTGGTGTTGGCGCTCTCCAGGGACTCAAGCCCATGAGCTTTCCCTATTCTCCTCTGAGACCTAACTGTTAATTAGAAGCTGATCTGTGGGAATGAATAGCCATTAACGCGTGTGTGTGTGTGTGTGTGTGTGTGTGTGTGTGTGTGTGCATACACCACAGTGTGTTTCAGCTCTCTTTTTCTAATTAACAGGCAGAGCAGTCATCCTCAAGTCTTCCTCTCTTTCAGTCTTTTTTCTGTCTCTTTCTAACCTTTTTGCCCTTCCTACATCAGTCACTTCCTCTTACCTTTTTTTTTTCTTTCACTTTTTTTTTTCACTGATGAATGTCTCTTAAGCTGTCTATTAAAAAGATTATTTTTTTCCTTTTTAAATGCAACTGCCTGAACCTGTATTGTGACCATTTGGGCACACTAAGGCAAAAACTGGCTCAAATGACAGCAACTGTAAATAGTCTTGTTTGGTCGAATATTCAATTCACATTAACAAAATGAGTGCTGTGAATGGACATTGTTTTATTCAGCTATAAGAGTGCAATGTTTGTTTTCTTGATTGCACGCTGTCAAAACAAATGTTGATCCTGTCGTTTATCTTTGGCATGTTGTCAATTTCAGTGATTGTTATTATCATTATTGCTACTATTTCTGATAATATTATTATCCATGTCTTTGTTCCACCTCTGAATAGTATTTGACATCTGGTAAAATTAGTACATGATTTGATCATTTGCTATGATTGACCAATCTCAGTTTATGCGTACACTATTCTTAATTGTTACAATTCAAAATGTTCATATTCAGTGGCCGCACTGAAAGCAAGTAACTTTATGAGAACATTTCCAATTTCTAGCATGCCGCCTCTGTGGATTACATTCTGAATTTTCTTTTCAGTGACTGTCTGTTTACTGTCTTTTGCCTGTAGCCCGTACGTGTGGTAGCAACTTACGGGGGCCCAGAGGGATCATAACATCTCCTAACTACCCTGTGCAGTATGAGAACAATGCTCACTGTGTCTGGGTAATCACTGCGCTGGATTCTGCAAAGGTGAGTTTTTATCCCGCTCGTGTTTACAGTTCTTAAACCGCTTAATCTCAAATGCAGGCAGACACGAACCTCCAGTTTGAACAGGGAAGCCAATTTCGTTATTTTGCTGTTGACTGAAAACATTCTGGTTTCATGAACAACTAATGAATTTGATTTTTTTGAATGCCTAATGGTGCAGCGTGTACTAGGAGGTGGGTAAGATTTGCCCGAGGAGATGGATGCCTTTGAGCAGTGTGTAGATACCAACGGTTCAGAGGTGGATAGACCACAACCCAGTGGAAAGTTTTGAGTTGAGCTGAAAGGGGAGATGATGGATGACTTTCTTGGTGAACACACCTTCAGGGCTTGATCCTCCTCCTCTTTGTCCTCACACATCTTTTGCATTGACATGACAGCTGTGCCAAAGACATCCTGAGGTGTTATTGGAGTGTCAAAGAGAATCTCCTTCTGAGTTGACAGGACTGTGAGGTGCGCCACCAGGCTTATTCTTGCACGAAACACCGCTGAAGAACTTGGCGGTAGATCGACTCCCCAGTGCATTATTTGAATAAAGGCAGTCTCGCATGTTCATGAGGCCATCACTGAATTCCTCTAAGAAAGAGCGTCCCCTCATTGGTCTATTCTCCTCATAAACCAGCAGGGCCTTTAGGAGGCCTTGGTTTAAGCTACACTGATGATAACGTTCTCGTGAGGTGTCTGGCAGGCTGACCTGTATGAAAATCACCTCTTGCTGATAGTTGCTATAGTTAATGTCAGCTTGGGAGACATTGCCATTTGTTTCGTCTCAGTGTTGCCACTTAATTTGATTAGTTTTAAAGTGACATGTCTCGACAATCAAGTGGCCTCACTTGTGTTCAGTGTCAGGCTAGTAAAAGTCTTCATAAAGGGACCATCCACCAACCATGTCCGCTGGTTGAGCTTTATGTAGGGCACAGGTGTCAAAGTCAAGGCCCGTGGGCCAGATCTGCCCCGTCACATCATTTTATGTGGCCCGCGAAGGCAGATCAAGCATATCAAGTTCCATGATGCTTGCTAAAGTCTGAACCAAAATTTCAAATTGTCGTATGTAATCCACAATAACAGTCATTATTCTTGACTTCTGGTTTTAAAACTAGTTATCCATCAATTTGTTGAGCGCTGTGTATGTAATATGCGGAGGTGATTAAACATTTATATGGTTTCCCAAAATTCATTGCGGCCCTCCAAGGGAAACCATAACTACAATGTGGCCCGCGACAAAAATGAGTTTGACACCCCTGATGTAGGGGATAGTTTCAAAAGACACAGCTTGGATTTTCGGTTCTATTCAGAAGCATTTTCACTGACTTTTCTTAGATGCCATTTATTAATTTCATAGCTTCGGTATTGTGGGGGGTGGTGGTGCTGGTGGGAGGGGCGGAATATGCTCATTCGGAAAGAGAGAATATCAAATACTTGAAAAAGGTGTCAAATCTGAATGGAGACATGCAGCATTATGGATGTCTGGCCAAGAGGAGGCTTCAAATGATTTTTTTGTACCTTCCTATATGACCGAAATACAAGTCACAGACATTTGATCAGAGAGAAAAGAGTATGACTGGATTTAAGGGGGAGGGTCTCAATGGAGAAACGCATACAGTTGGTTTCATACATCAACCTTTCGCTATTGTTCTTGATCAGACAAACTGAAGTCATTTGTGAATTAAAAAAAAAAGGACATTTTCTATTACACTATCCTACCTTTTTGATGACACATGTATGCACACCCACACACACACCGGCCACACGAGCACCAATCACAAGTGGCTGCAGCATACACGGCTGGTGGAGTGCACTCCAGCAGAGTCGTACTGTGTCAGGCACAACAAAAAAAAAGTACGTCTGCAGGCTGCAACGTGTTTGTGCTTCATTGGACAGTTGCTTGTTGTTGTGCAACCAACAAAGCAGCACAGTAACAACCCTTGATCCGCTTCAACCCACCACCCCTTTGTATTTGTCCTTTTCGCTGAGATCTGACTCATCTCAATTTCACTTTTCAGCAACTTGCCAATATAGCAAGGTAGCGATGGGAATGTTATAAAGAAAGAAGGAAAGAATATGATGGTGCAGAGCAGATTATTCAGTGGAGTTGGGTCTAAGATGCTGGTGAGAAAAAGTAGGACTACAGGTAGCCGTGGTGGAAAAAAAATGGCCACATATTAGACCTAATAGACCATTGCTTTTATTATGTAAATGATTTGGTAAGACTTTTCAATGAATAAAATGAAGTGCTGTAGTCCATATTTTTGCAAGATCGATGAGTGTTGCTCACCATCAGAAAATGATCACATTTTTTTGACCTGACTGTGATTAGGTTACGTTGAATTTCAAGCAGTTAAGGAATTGTTTACATTTTATTTGATATGTCCACTAATGAGCCGGATTACTCTGGCAAAACCTTTAAGAGATGTATGTGTGAGAGATTTATTTTGTTACATGGATTGTCTTTGTGAATTAAGACCATCATATATTATGATTATTGTTGTAATTATATGATAAGCAACAGCAACATCAATGGTGAAGATCACTAGCAGAAGGCTTATTGAGAGACTGGGTGACTCTCGTCATGGCAGTGGTTTTGGTCTTGAAGGAGGAAGATTTGGTGGTCTTATTGGGGGAGTAGGAAAAAAATTGAGCAGAGCTGAGCAATAACCAGACCGGTAAAGGTTTGCCGGGCTCCCATACTGTAGTTGTATTGTGAAAGGTATATTCGATAATGTATTAGACTTAAAATAATTGTCATCAGTTAGTTTTCGTGGCCTCGCCATGCGCCAGGAGAAACAATTACAACAATTACATTTTGCAGGCATAATGAAACAAGAAAGAATAATTGGCAAACAATTAGGTTTGAATAGGTATTCTTGAAACCAGCTCGGAGGCGATCATTCAGTATTCTCAGCGATAAAAGTGGACTGCACTACCCACACATCAGTATGTTCTCGTGTGGAGCCAGCTGAAGTGTTTTTCCTCCTTCCTTATGACTCTGCATTGCTGAGCTCAAGGTCACCACTCCTCCACGGTTTTGTGAAGGCAGCTTTGTTGTTGAGTCATTGTTGTATCTGCATGAATAATTCATAGACCTTCGCAACAACATCTCAAGTCATTCCGGTTTCCCTGACACTATTATCTTCTCTTCATGTCTGATCACATATCCCATCTCTTCTGTCCTGTCCCCACTCTCCAACTTGTTCCCGTCCCTGTTCCCATTACAATGTACTTGGCTCATTTTCTATTACCCCCTCCTTTATCTTCCATCCATCCCTCCGTCTTCTGCACCACTCCATTAGCATCCGCATATCGCCGCTTCTTTCCCCCCTTTAGTCCACTGAACATAGGGTAAATAGCAAGAGGGAAGGCAAAATGACAGCGAGATGGCACCGTGCTCATTTAAGAAATTCAAAAGAAAGAGGCTGAGAGTCGAGATGAGCCAAACGAGGCTAAGTGTTCAGGCCAACTACTTCATAAAAGGAACGCGAGCAGCAAAATGCTGCATTTCCACGTGTGTACGGCTGAGTGGAGGAGTTGATAGACATTGCTTTTACAAATGCATGTTCTCCCCGGGCTTGCGTGGGTTTTCTCCGGGTACTCCGGTTTCCTCCCACATTCCAAAAACATGCATGGCAGGCTGATTGAACACTCTAAATTGTCCCGAGGTGTGAGTGTGAGCGCCGATAGTTGTTCGTCTCTGTGTGCCCTGCGATTGGCTGGCAACCGGTTCAGGGTGTCCCCCGCCTGCTGCCTGAAGACAGCTGGGATAGGCTCCAGCACCCCCCCGTGACCCTTGTGAGGATAAAGTGGATTGGAAAATGAATGGATGGATGGATGGATGGAAACAAACTAAGTCAATCCATCTACTAAATCTGTGATGGAGTTTGGCTAAATATAGCTAAATGTAAATCGGTGTGCGACCCTGCACCGCGCTCTCGCCGCCAGAACAAGTAGACTCTCCTTTGTTTCATGAAAATGTGTTTTGTTGTCCCAGTTTTGTGAAAAATCAGTGTGATTAGACCTCGACAATAAAGTAAAGCAACTGCAGTTGACTGATTCCTGAAATACGGAAACATATTAATGGATATTCGACTCAGCAGGGAGCACAAACTCATATTAAGACACCAATAGTGAAGGGCAAGTCGATGTATTGATCCGCTAAATTGACTAGCTGGAAATCATTCAACACCCCATTCTAAAATCACTTACACCCATTAAGTTCAACATGGGAGCATATGATCAACGAGTGGTTCTCATGTGATGGAATTGTCCCCTTGCTCGCATTGGGTTTCTCTTCAGATTCCTCTAAATTGCCCATGTTAATGTGACTGGTTGTTTGTCTATGTGTGCGCCTGAATTTGGGTCTTGGGTCGAAACATTTTTTAAGTATCATGGAACTTGCCTGCCCAATGAGCATAAAAAGAACCTTAAACTTCTGGAGTCTTTGCTGTTCTCACAGTGATACTTACTATATTTGACGCAAACACATGTTCTCTCATGCTGTAGTGTTATTATTTGCACGAACATCATAACACAGATTCGCCAGCATCAAAAGTAGCAATAATTTAACTGCAAGCCTAGAAACAACACCACGTTCACTACTAAACCGTGTCTTTTCAAAATAATGCGATAGCGCAGTCAATCGTGATATTTGAACTGCGGCAAAGCCTGCTGGGAACTCCTCCTCTGTTTCCCCAACAATCCAGAATATCTTAATGTGGTGATCGATATACGGTAATTTTCAAGATGCAGGGAAAATGTCATCATTTTTTCCCGCCTTGCCGTTATGACTTTTTCTTTTGGATAACAAAATAAGGTAATCCTATACTGTGAATAATGTTCTGATTATCATGACAATATTTTGCAACAAATCCTCTGCGGGTATCATCAAAATTACTTTTCCTGATGATTAAACACATCTACTAAAGCTGTGAAGTGTGTTGGCCAGGAAGAAATATTCCCTTGGACCTTGTGCGATCTGTTGGAGAAAGACA